CAGATTCGGCTTGGATAAAATTTTATTATATGTATACGAGTAGATATACAAGTGATACGGTTTGTTCGCTTGGTTGCCATGGCCATATCTGAATCAATTTAATTAAATTTTATATGAATATGTCTTAAATTTCGTTATTTCATATTGATAAAATGTTTTACAAAAAGAAATACCATCCAAATTACTCCAAATTCTAGTTTTATTTCACTATTCTGTCTATATTTGAAGACTATGGATAAAAGAAGCAATAAGAACAGAATATTAAAAGAATGTAGGGCCCTTTCTGCCAATAATTCCTGAAATACCTTGGGATACGCCGCCTATTTTGAATGATAAAGGTTTTATCGCATAAAATTTTTGTTCTTCTATTTTGGAGAGGCTATTAATCTTTGTAAATTCAGGTCATATCATCATATCTATACTAATATTATAAAGAGGAAGAGTCTGTTTATTTGTTTGTTTGTTTGTTTGTTTGTTTGTTTGTTTGTTTGAACGCGCTAATCTCTGATTTGAAAAATTCTTTTTGTATTATATAGCCTGTTTATTGAGGAAGGCTATGTATCATCATGCTACTACCCAAGGGAGCGGAGCAGTTATCATAAATGTCAACAAATCGGGCAGACTTCCATACGTAAAACTGACGTTTATAATCAGACAAATTTAACGCGGGTGAAACCGCGGGGCACAAATAGTACTTTAATAATACCTAATATTTTATTTTTTTATTTTTAAAGTAACTATAACTTAAAATAATAAATAATCTTACAAATATATGAGTACTATTAAATTAGTATAAAATAATGTAATAGCCGAGTTTAGTCAGTAAAATGATTAACTAAAGCGTTTTATTAGACGGTATCATGTGTTCGTTCGTTTTATTTGATCTGCTTCAACGATAACTTGATTAAAATTGAGTTTTGCTATAATTGCATTGCACACGATAGAAAATGCCCGAATAAAGAGCCCTCCAAAAAATGTCATAGTCAAAAATAATACTGTTTTGCTGTTTATGTTACTATTCTCGATTTTACTATCTTGAAAGAACAAGGAAAATTTTAAATTTAAATTAGTCCTTAACAGTGTTTGAGATAAAATATGAATCTATACATATAATAAAATCGTAACTAAGCCGAATCTGTACATTGAATTTTTTTTGGAAAATCTTATTGAAATAGACTTTATTATCGATACAGAGGCCGAATCTATAGTTTTTAGAATTTTTGTCTGTCTGTCTGTTACCGCATCACGGAAAAACCACTGGAGGGATTTTGATGAAATTTGGTATGATGATAGCTGGTTATCCGGGTCAACATATAGGATACTTTTTACCGCGGGAAAATATCTCATTTTTGAGAAAAATTACAAAAACTGCAATTTAAGAGTATAGTAATATATAAAGCTTAAGAATTTGGTTTTTGGTCATCTGAACGCGGGCGGAGCCACGGCTAATGCTAGTAGTAAATATAAAATCGTATTATTTTGTGTTTTTTAAGCAATAGTTCTCTTCACCTTGAAAGAGAGATAGCATTATATTAGCTTTTTTTTCTTTATTACAATTAAATTCTTTAGCTATTTTTAATTATTGACATTTATTTTCAATCACTTAGTATACAAATTGCCATTTTTATACTATTTTATAACATTAAATACCTATATTATTTTAAATCATTATTGTCTAGCTTCGCGTTTAGTTCTACGAGTATGACACTCTGTTTATATTTAATTTTTCATTTTCCTTTAATAATAATATTTATATTTTAACCCTATATTTTGATGAATCTAGTGTTAGTACTCGTATGTTTAAATATCGCGAATATATCGAGATCTTGTTGTTTACTTAAAGCGTTGATTTTGATCGTTTCAAAAATAATAATTTGTAGAGCTTATGAAATTTGATTCTATGTAGATTTTCCTTTGGCTTAAATAATAAATTGTTTGTTGACTGTTCATGTTCAAGGCAACACAACGTTAATAACATGTTTCATTCGAAGGTCGCTTATGTTTCAATAAAATTGCTTTTAGATTGTTTCAATACGCGCTTATTATATTATTAATATAATTTTGTATCATATTTAAGTGTAGACTGGTTAATGTGTTAACTGGTCGTGGATTCGATATCCGTAAGAGCTACCATTATTACGTAACATTGGAAAATGACATTTTAAAAGTATCGTCTTATTAGATATCACAACAATATTCTACATGTACATATTATACAGGATATGATATTATGCACAAAATCTGTACAAATTTACAAACATTTTATTTATGTAAAACTGGTGAGTATGTATGTATAACAAAATTAGTTTTTTTTAACGTGACATAATTTTTAAATATCTTCTTGCTTTCAATTGGAATTCTACACAAAATAATTGTCCATGCCCATTGGTTGAATAGAAGATATCACTTTTAGAAATAAGTCCTAGTAATACCTATCACTTATGTGAGTGACTTACCCTCGATTCGTTCGGGTGCGTCCCCAGATATGCGCATTTTGTGTACAATTTCGAGGGTTTTGACTTTTTGAAATCTAAATCTTTTTCCCATATAAAAGTAGCCTAAGTTACTCCTTATAACATCGGCTAGCTGACAATGAAAGTCCTGTCAGAGATTAGTCGGAGCAAACAGACAGATAGACAATTTTTAAATTATGTTTTTCTTTTGAGTACCATTTATACTCTCATAATATGCATTAGTAAAATAACATGACATTACAAACATACACTTCAATTTTATTTATTTGTATAGATGTTTGTAAGATATTTTTTAAAGTATTGTAAAAATATATAATATCAATTCTTTTTTGTCTGTATGGCTTAGTAGTAGTTAGTACAAGAAAATCAAGATAAAATCGAAATTCTTAGAACAATTTTATCCGGGACCTTTAATACAAGTATGAAGGTTCCAGCGAGGGTGATTTATGCTAATCTGGTCCCAGAATAATTTGGTTTCTGAGGAATAGGGTACAAAAGAAAAATGATACGAATGTAAATAGCTCTTTGACTGAGAAATTGGATAAAAAACATCAGTATACACTAACTAATAACTACACATCATCGATATATCAAATGTAAATCATAACATATCACTCACGCCTCAGTATATAAACAAAATCAGTATAACTTTGATAGATATTTTTATACAATACTAGCATTGCCAGCTGCTCCGCCCGCGTCCAGATGACCAAAAACCAAATTCTTAGGTTTTACGTATTAATATACTCTTACAATGCAGTTTTTGTATTTTATCTCAGAAATGAGATATTTTCCCGCGGTATAAAGTATCCTATATGTTGACCCGGATAAACAGCTATCATCACACTAAATTTCATCAAAATCTGTCTAGTGGTTTTCTCGTGATGCGGTAACAGAAAGACAGAATGACAAAAATTCTAAAAACTATAGATTCGGCCTCTGTATCGATAATAATGTCCATTTCAATAAGATTTTTCAAAAAATATTCAATGTACAGATTTGACTTAGTTAGAATTTTATTATAATATGTATAGATTCACAAATATCGCCTAGAAGCTAACATCGGAGTTACGGCCGTAATATTTTGTTCGGACATGAAACTCGCATTCCATTGCAATAGAGTGGTGTGTTATGACATCTAGTCAGTCGCAATAAGATTGCTATTTGTTTGTCTGCGTTGGTCCTAAACATGCTATAAAACTAAATTCGTGCGACCATTGGCTTTATGTCAAAACTTTATACATATGTCGTAATTGAACTTATTCTTGAAGTGCGTATAAGAATAATAAAAATGAGTTTTTTGTGTTAGCACATTAATACACTACACCATAGACCATAGTCCGATTAAATTAGAATTTAACCCTTGCATAAATTCCAAAGAAGCTGAAAATTGACATGAACGTTAGGGATACCATTATAATGAAATTGTGAAAAGTCCTCATCGATTCAAAAAATTTTTGCAAGGTAAAAGTTCCCAAAAATCTTTTTTTTTGGATTTATTAGCGAAACAGCGAAAGCGATTATTTATGATAAAATAGTTTAGACAAAAATTGTAGATCATGCTATTACCTACAAAAGTTCTCCTTACACTTTTTTTTCTAAGATTCACCATTTCTGAGAAAAAGCGATTCTAAAATGTACTAAAGTTGTGTTCTCCATAATATGAATGAGTGCCTGCCTATGTACCCATATGGGCTAATTCGACCGGAGTACCATCTAGTTCCATGGTAAGGTACGAGGCTTGTGTTATGGATACCAGATAGTTGATACACTACACATATATAGCTTTAAATACATACATATTATAAATATAAACACCCATGACTGGAGTACAAACAATCGTGCTCATCACACAATGAATGCCCCCAGCGGGACTCGAACCCGCGACCGTTGGCACAGCAAGTAGGGTCACTACACACTGAGCCAAACGTGTCGTCAAAGCCCTATTTCTCCTAGAGTCTATACTATAATGGAAAAGTCCTTAAAAAAAAACCAAAGTATTCTTGTACGCTGTTATTAAACTCACAACACCAATCGAACTTAATTTTAAATAGCTATCGTTCCCTTTTTCGTTCCTTCCCGTTATACATTACGTACGAGTATATCGACGATTTTTATTATTGATACAGTGCGATCAAAATTAACACAATGCATCAGTGGACCTTTCACGAATATTCGTACCTATATCTTAAACGGAAATAATGTTATTGTATCATATTTGCTATTTGCAGAAAATTGTTTTAGTAATCCATAGTATTGTGCTTTTGCTCATGATTTTTATTATGCTATATTTTGTTTATTTATATAAACTAAATTATATATATTTTTTTAATGTTAGGTACTTTGTGAATAAACTTTTTTAATAATGTTATAAAAATTTTAAATATTTTTCTAGTTACGAATATATAAGAATGATGGAAAAATATATCGTAATTATGAACAAATAAGCTCTAATAGGAAGTAAAGTCCTTGGCTATTTAAAAATAAACTTTTTTAAATGACTATAAGCCTTCTCTGTTGTTTCAGAAATATGTGGTCAGCACAGACCGTAGCGGCGACATTCACCTTCACGTACAGGTGAGTTGCATTTTGTGTGGAATGTTTTATTTATATATTATAAATATTTAATATATAATATTTAATATAAAAAATATTCAATATATAATAATTGGTTTTTTTTTTGTATAATTTAAAAAAATTGTTTATGCACAATAGCCAATAGACTATCTATACTTATTATAAAAATAAGTCCCCCGGCCGCGTCTTTCTGTCCTCCTGTCTGTCCTCCTGTCTGTCTGTACGCGATAAACTCGAAAACTACTGAACGGATTTTTATACGGTTTTCAACAATAGAAAGAGTAATTCTTGAGGAAGGTTTAGGTATATAATTTATTATGCTTTTATGTAAATTAGCTGAAATACGGCGACAAATGTTGAAGAGGTCGCAAAAAATCTCGCCAAATGGGAACTTTCCACGCGAACGCCGCGTAAACTAGCAAAGATACAGTTAAGTAATGTACTAGAGAATTCAAAATCTATAAAAATGCTACAAAAAAGTCCGCGATAGCATATCTCTATCTCTTACGGTTGACTTACAATAACCACTTTTATGTTAACATTTTTAATTAAAAACATTACGTTATTTTCAAAGTTATTTTCTTTAGTTCGGTATTAATCCTTATCCAAATGAATATTTTAGTTAGCTTAGTCATTTAATGCAGATTAAAATTGCTCTTTACACTAAATCAATCAGATGAATAGTTTTTGAGATATCGTTGTTAGAAGTAATTAGTAGCGAAACATTTTTAATGCTTGGCGAGCATTGAGATGCCTACGGCGAGTCCATCCCCTCTGCCCCGCATCGCTCGACCGCCTGCTCAAGCTATATAAACCGGGCGATGTAGCGCGCGATCCTAGGATACTTTTTACCGCGGGAAAATATCTTATTTCTGAGGAAAAATACAAAAACTGCAATGTAAGAGTATACTAATATGTAACACCTAAGAATTTAGTTTTTGGTCATCTGAACGCGGGCGGAGCCGCGGGCAATGCTAGTAAAAAAAATAAAAAGGGTAGAAGTTTACCGCGCTTTTTGTGTAGAAAAATGGAGATGTCGGTACCACTCTGTTTATGGTCATGGATTAATTGCGATCGATTGCGAGAAAGTAAACCTAAGATGAATCAAAGAAAATATTATGTAATATACAAATAAAATCAAGTTCTTCAACGTTTTATTAATTTTATCCAATATAATCGGCATTTCTAATTTTAGATGAATATGCACTATAAGAACCTACCTAAAATATCTATTTAGACGAGATATATTTTTATCCAATATATTTGTAAATTATTTTACATTGTGGTTCAAAATAGTATAAAAGTAACAAATACTGCAGTAATTAACTTAAATTTACATTTCCAAAGAAACTTACAGTATTAAATCTGCATCAAAAAGCTCCGTCGACTAATTGAAATTGTTTGCACTGGCGAAGGCTGTTAAAATTAAAATCAACATGCAGAGGTTATTAAAAAACGTTAAGTAAGAGAATTTTATATTGAATTTTTAGACCTATGATTTTTTTTTACAAATTGTGTAGCAATTTATATTGAAAAGGCAAAAACAAAAGGTGAAAAACTTAACTAACTAGTCGAGTAATTTATAATTATATTTTTTTATAATTATATAATTTATAAATATATTAAAAATTACGTACAATTAAGTATATCGGTAAAAGGTTATAGAAACTATTTATTTATTTATAAAGAACTCATTTGTAAAAGAAGAAACTGGCTGAACAAAATGGAAACCCTCAAAACGGTCACCGTGTGAAAAAAAGTAACGTTGCATGACATTTCATTACGCGCGGAAATGTGCCGCAAAGATTGGATATAATTGTGTCATTTTCAGGTCAAAAAGGCCATCCAGTTCCAATCTAACGTGATTTTCTAACAAATTTTTTCTTCGTCTATATGTAATATTTAGCACTTGCAGTAATAAGTCAACTGTTAATTTAATGCTTTAATTTTATTTTATTTTGATTTATATATGTATATTTTAGTTATGATTTTAGTATATTCACTATAATGTTAATAAACTAAAATATTTCTTCTATTATCTATCTCAATTTCAATATATTATATATATATTAATATATATATATATATATATTAATATATATAATATATATATTATGTGCCTATAATAAGTTATATTATGTACAATGTATATCTCTAAAATCTATATAATAATTAATATATTAATAACCATATATTATTATTTATATGACGCTAAATAAATAAAACTAATCTTTAAATTGTTTTATGCTTCAAACCAGGGATTTATGCCAAAACAAGAAAAGGTATTTATTTTAAAAATAGATTTTTTATTTTAGAAATAAGTATTTTTGAAAAAAAAACATGAATTATTTCAAATAATTAGCTAAGAGTTTTAATTTAAAGTACTTAAAGATTACTATAATCATTAAACAACATTAAATTAACAAAAAAATAATACATATGGAGGGAAGACAGTGAGTGGTCAGTGCCTGAAATGGTATTATAACTTGCTGCTTATAATATCATTCTTCCACTATGCCCGAGATTTTCAGGAGATACAATATAAATAAATATTTGTAGACATTGTAACTATTTAATATGTAAACGGATAATTATTCGCTAGTACATAATTATACTAACATGCCATTTTCATTATTATTAAATAAAGATTCAAGGAGTTGCTATACTCTTACAGCATCATTTGAAATCGTTTTAATAAATACTTCGTATAAGCTATTTTAAAACTGGTTTTCTCAATAGTATTTAAATGTAGTAATATTTTAATAATGAAGGAATGTTTCATTATGAGTAGTGATGATATCTTCAACATTTTCTTTCTATGCACCATTCGTTTGTTCACTATATAGATTATTATAGATAGACTTCTGTCCATCTATGTGTCTTTCCTTATCTGACAAAAGATAATAGTACCAACTACCAGATTATTACTTTAAATCCTACGATTTGCTTGTTGCATTTAAAAAAAAACCCTTTAAAATGAATGAGTCCACTCTTGGAGTAAAATTTTTATTTGAAATATATAGGTTTTACTATGAGATATAACCTTTTCATTAAAAGAAGAATCATGGAAATGGCTCATAAAATATACGCCCGAGCTACTTTTTTTTAAGTCACTCAAAAACTACTTAAGTCAAAATCAATAATTTTATTAATATTTTTTCAGGGTGACTTAAGTCAGCAGGACAAAAGATGCGTCTTCATAACAGTCCACGATCTTGGCACCAACCGTAAGTTTTCATTTTATTAGTGTAGATTGTGTATTTTAAATTTAATTTTTAAATTACACGATCATCAAGATTTATAACAGTTTGCTCATAATCTATTTCTGGTCTTATTTGACGCACTTTCTCTTACAGAATGGATGAAGAGCACGAGTAGCTCTGTCATTATTGTCATTCATAAATATTGTATGAGGTCTACATGGACATCGAACCTGTAATTTCTAATGTATAATGGAGTACCATCATAAAGATATAATCATAGAACAATATCATTCTAACTGCCTCGGTGGTCTAGTGGCTAGCATGTACGGCTGCAGATGCTGAGGTCCTGGGTTCGAGTTTCGGGTCGTGCCAAGTTTGATTACTGAGATTTTCAGATATTCTCAGTAGTAGCTTGGAGTTGGGAAGTTGAATGTGTTGTATCCCCGTGGCTCAGAGAGCTCGTAAAACTGTCGGTCCTGCGCCTCAACTCTCGCCGGTCATCTCGAAGTATCGTCCCATCGGACTTTGAGAATAAAAGGAATAGAGAGTGCACGTTGTGTCTGCGCGTACACTTGCGCACTATAACATCTCCTGCGCAGTTGGGTAGTCTCAGTGAGATTGGCCGCCGTGACCGGAATCTGTCAGGAGTACATCATTATTATTATAATATATTAATTTACGATACAAATGTTTTCCAGATACTTCTATGGTCGATTTCGTGAACCACCCTTCAATGGCCGAGATAAAGGAACGATCATGCTTCATCCACGTGGATGTTCCGGGACATGAGGAGAATTCACCAGACTTACCCGAGTCGTGAGTGTTACGTTGTTTTCATATTACCTGAAAAATGAATTTAGTTGAACAGTATAGTTTTACTTAGCCATATAGGCTTAAGTTCTATATTTTACAATCAAACCTAGCTAGCTTTCAAAAAGATTATAAATTAAAAATGATGGATTATGATAAAGAACAGAAAAGAATGAAAACCGCAAAAAAATCTATAGATATAATAAAATGTTTACGAATATATTACTCATGGAGATTAAGAATTTTAATAATATCAGAAGATGTAAAAATCCCATGTACCCATCAGATTTAAAATCCCGCTGTTATTGTAATCAATAAAAAAACGACACTCGTATTGCAAGCGTTTGTTATTTTTCAGAGATAGATAAAATTCAAATTATCCACCACTAAGGGTTAGTTAATAATAATTGGTTACTTTTAAGTGATTTTTAACCGATTTCCAAAAAGGAGGAGTTTCTCTTTCTAGGAGGAGGTTATTTTTTTTTATGTATGTTTACCGCTTACTCGAAGACGCCTGAACCGATTTGGAAAATATATTTTTTTTGTTTCGAAGGGATATTAGATATTCATATCTTAAAATAAGAATCTGATTAAGAATCTATTCTATGAAGTTAAAAACCCCCGTTTAGTTAATTTTTACATTTTAATGCCTGGAAGTCGTTTTTTTAAGTTTATTATGTAGAAAAAATCATTATAAAAAGTAATATTATAAAAACGAAAATATTATTTCAGCTATCCGTTCCCATCGCTACAAACTTTAGGAGAGGATTTGGTTACGGTTTTGGACTTTCTGCACGTGCGGTACGCGGTAGGTCTGGGCGAAGGCGCCGGCGCCAACGTCCTCGCTCGTTGTGGTCTCGCACACCCTCGTCGTCTCTTAGGCCTCATCTTAGTTAACTGCACAGCATCCACGTCATCTGTAGCCGATGCATTCAGGACCAGATTCTCGCGATGGAGAGGCACAGATATATCCCAGTCTGAGGAAGATTTCCTCATTTACCATAAGTTCGGACACGTGAGTTTCGTTCCCGACATCCTTGATTATAGCTATCAGGTAGTGTTTTTGTTTTTGTGACTAATGCTTTGACTAATTGATTTTTGGGCGACTGTTTGGTTTCGTTTTTGTTGTTTTATGTTTAGCTGGCTTCAATTATTTTTTATGAAATCTGAGAGCCAACTCAACTCAATCAATTTTTATTGGAACTTAAAATGAAACGTTTTGCCATTTCCAAACAGTTGTTTTAACTTATTTGTAAGGTAAGGAACGTGTTTGATTTCGCATAATTGAATATATTAAATATACATATACATAATTGATTGAATTATTCATATTCATATATATTTTTTCCGCTTTTAATTTTATAACATTATCATTTACAACATGAACATCAACATCTTCCTTATCTTGTTTATTTTTTTATAATATCATTTACTAGCGATTCACCCGGGATCGTTCCTAGGTTGCTTCCTCATACAAACTTTCATCCCTATTTACACCCCCGTTAAGGGATGATTTTCGGGATAAAAACTGTCTTATATCCTTTCCAGGTTCTCAAACTTCTTCATCTTCTTCTCAAACTTCTTCTTACCAAATTTCACCTAAATCGGTTAAGCAGTTTCGGAGCCTATTCGATACAAACAAACAAATTTTTCTTCTTTATTAAAATAGATCATTTTTTATTCTAAAGCCAAAATAATCGTTTATTCATAATTATTTGCTTCAAACTGCCTTTATCTAGAGTCAAAATTCTGTCGAAAGTGGACTTTTAACATTCTAAGAAAATAAACGAACCTACTAACATGCTTTAGACTTAAGATTCCTTTTAAACATACATATTTTCTTTATATTTTGTTATCATCAAATTAGGCATGTAACTATTCTGACGCTTTCTGTGACGCTTACATACTATGTTTGTTCGCATTAAACTAATAGGTGTAAATATGTAGAGCACTTTAAAAAAGAATTGGCCTGTTGGTGAGTTTATGTTAATAGAGCCTAATGCTTAGGTTTTAATCATTTCATAATCCCATAACCTCATAAATATTATAAACGTTAAAATTTGAGTGTATATTTGGATGTTTGTTATTCAATCACGCCAGAACTGCTGAACGGATCTGGATAAAATTTGGCACAGAGATAAATTATACTCTAAAATAGCACATAGGTTACTTTTTATCCAGGAAAAGTGTACGATTCCCGTGGGATAGAAATGTTTTTGTTTTACACTAGGGAAGAACCCGAGCGAAGCGAGGGTTAGTAGCTAGCTGGTAAATATACCTATAAATTATTTAATAAATAACCTATTTTTCGATCCAATGAACGACAAAGCGTACATAGAGACACTGGGTATGCTGTTATAAATTTTGAAGAGATTTGAACTTATGACTTCTGGTCTCAGACTAAAGGTTTATATAGACGGAGTGTGTCAAGAAAAAGTTAAACTCGAAAAAACATAGTAGCGTGATTTGCTGTTTATGCTACTATGTTGACATAGATATAATTTATATGCTTTAGAAATTAAGGGGAAATTTATAAAGGAATTTATGAATATTAAAATATATATTTTTTGTATTTTTAAGCCTTTTCTCCTTTAAAGAGATTTTTTTTTGTAATTTTATTTCTTTACAATACTAAAATATTTAACAAAAAACCAGTAAACTTATGTTTATACTACATTCTACACCAAATCTAAAGAGACAGAGCTCGAGTGCGAGCGCACGCGCGCTCTCCGAGCACCGCTCGTGCCATTATCGTGCAATTATAATCACTATAAATATTGTTAGTTTCTTTTTTTTATCAAGAATTAGTGACTCGCCCTCGCTTCGCTTCGGGTTCATCTATCTTTGTGCCAAATTTCATCCAGGTTCAGGTTCAGCCGTTCTGGCGTGAAAGAGTAACAAACATCCATCCATTCTCACAAATTTTCACACTTTTAAAATTATTATAGGATGAATGCTATGATTATTGTTTAGTAACTTGTTAATAGAAAATTAAGTAAAATATTTTTTTTACTATGCTATATTAGACTTATGCGAAAATTGTCAATTTTAAATGATTTGTAATTTAAAAAAGCATCAAAAAAACCTTCCACTGTTATATTTACATGTCCGTTGTCTTAGTAATTACAATAATACATATAAAGTAATAACAAACAGTATTAACGATAATATAATACATATACGTATTATGTGTAAAAAAGCACTGACCACATTGTACATCGTACAGCAAATCCAAAGCGACACGTACGAGGGCGAGCGCGAGCGCGAGCGCACGCTGGCCGAGTACCGCTCGCGCCTGCGCGGCAACCTCAACACGCACAACATCAAGCAGTACGTGCGCGCCTTTATTCAGTAAGTTATAATTATAATAATCCATTAAACGTAACTAAAATCTTCCTTTGGCTTATGCCCAGCCCATCAGTTTTGTCCGACTGAGACAGTTCACCTGAGAAAAAAAGATAATATAAATATGTAGGAACATTAACACACAATACCATCTAGTTCTATGGTAAGCTACGAGGCTTGTGTTATAGATACCAGATGTTCGTTTAGTATAGATTTCTCAGAGACGAGATTTTTTCCCGCGGTAAAAAGTATACCCATACCAAATTTCATCAAAATCCCTCCAGTGGTTTTTCTGTGATGCGGTAACAGACAGACAGACAGACAGGCAGACAGACAAAAATTCAAAACCATAGATTCGGCCTCTGTATCGATAATAATGTTTATTTTAATAAGATTTTCCAAAAAATATCTAATGTATAGATTTAGTTACAATTTTATTATATGTATAGATTATGTAAATCAGAATCCTGATAAACTTTTTAACGACTATAGAATTATACACGTTAGTGTAGCACATTGTTAAGTGTGCTTGAATTAGTACCTACCGCTTTACCTTCCACTTTTCTAACTTCATAAATTACGACTTCCATACAAAATTCTATTTTTGAAGTGAAACTTCTTTAGAATCGTTGTGATTTGAAACTCGATGAAACGGAAATATGTAACACTAAAAAGAGACAAACACAAATACATAGGAGAGAGAATGAGATAGAATACATTGCCATGTTGCCATGGTAACCGTTGTTATTGTCTGACAAATATATAATATTACATTCATCCGTATACTATGATATTATATATATATGATATAGAGTATCAGGAGTAGGATAATTATAAGGTTTATTTTTTTATAATATTTTTACCAAATTTAATATTTGTTATTTTTCACTTCCTATCTAGTATTTTTTCTCAAATAATTAAATAAGGTTTAATAGGCATATTACAATCATATATATTTATATATATATATATAACCTTATATATATATATTATATATATATATATATATATAAGGTAAAATTCTAAGAAATCTATTGTTAACTGACACGTCGCGCAGCGCCGGCGCGGCGCGTCCGCGGTCGTGGAGGGTTTAATACATAATATATTTATGAGGTAGATAATATTGAGGTACAATACAGGCAAAAATTACTTGCTTAAAAGAGGACCTCAACCACAAACTTTGTCAACATTATAACCTTTTTTAAGCAAGTAAAAAAAACATAGATATTCTAGGATTTACTAAACCTATTAATTAAATTGTAAAAAATGTAACTCTTAGGGCTTTCTGATTTTTTTTCAGCCGCAAGGACTTGGTTCTGAAAGGTTGTCAACCAGACATCCTTCTAATAACTGGGATGCTCAGTCCTTACTCGACTGTGGTGGAGAAAATGTATAAGGAGCTGGATAAGGAGAGGGTCACTATACTGAAGGTGGATAAAGTTGGAGATGTATTGGCAGAAGCTGTGAGTATATTATGTTTATTTGAATTTAAACTTCATGTATTTTTTATATTAAATAATTTCTATATACACATATATACAATTATTTCATGCTTTGGTTGGATATTTTTCTGTATTCATTCATTGAGGTATAAAGTATTCATAAAAAACATGAACATCAGTTTTTTTTTAAATATAAAAAATAATATATATTGAACTTATAATTTTATTTCTTTGAATTTATTCTTTACCATCTATAATATGCTATAATGACGACACATGTCTTTCATGAGAGTTTCTTCAATTATCTTATACACGCTATAATACGGTTTTGCAAGGTCTAATATAATAAAATAAAAAATAGAAAACCGTGTATTTTTATAAATAGCTCAATTAACTAGCTCTATTTTTACTATTCATTTCTATTCATAGTGTGTTTGTTTGTTCGTCTTGAAAAAATGTTTTAGTTAATCTTGGTGAAACTACGAACAGTTCATAATTATTTTAATTGAATGAGTTAATACAAAGGTACGTTGTGAGACCACTGTAATAAATGGTGTCAAACAAAGCGATTAATTATCTACTCAATAATATTTAAAAAGTGAAGTATGGCTTAGAAAAAATTATTGTGACAGACGAACATAAAACATTTTATTTTCTATAGATTTTTTTTACTACTTAGAAAACACAGCTTTTTTTTAAAATTGGGACAAGATAATGTCCGATAGATTAATAAATTCAAATTCTATTAAATATAAATTTATTTTATTTATAATTTTATTTAAATATAAATTATTATAAATTCATTGTTTACTCTACAAATGAAAATATGTCAAACTATGTCATGGTTATCTTGTATGGAATATTCATAAGGATTGACATTAAAATAAACTTTCCATTTATCACCTTTGAGACGTCTATATAACCTCAGTCTCTCCCGTGACCATGATTGCTGTAAAGCATTCGAAACGTCGGGAACCAAAATTCAAAATAAATCCGCGTAAAAATCCAAAAGATAACTAGTTTTATTTAAAATGTTAAATATTAGGGTAAATCTAAGAAAGATTTATGATAAATATTTTGTTTATTATATTCTAACAATAATGGCCGTAGTACTTTTGATTACTGAGAATAGGACAAAATTATTTGCGTGCATGTTGCGCGATAGCAATAGTACGCATGGCTTGTTCTTCGCTGCCAATACAACATCTCCGGTATTACATCGAAAGTAAAAGTGGGCTCGTCCAGTAGCGCTGCATTAATACCGTGACCCACTTGTGTATTTCTCAGACATAAACTTCATTGATATATATATATAATTTTTTTTAAAAACAATAACTTTGTCCGAAGAGAAAGGCGTTGAAAAAAATGGTTATTCTTTACATTCTTATATTTATCGTCATAGCGGCTTTGGTAATAGGCCTCTATCAGAAGAACACGAATATAATTTGTAAATCAAAAGTGAGACTCGACGGTAAAACTGCCATCGTTACTGGAGGAACATCTGGTATGGGGTTAAGGATAGCCATGGATTTCGCTGACCGCGGTGCTCGTGTGATCGTCGCTTGTCCCTTCATAGATGAAGGTACTCAAGGCAGACGAATCATCGTCAACAAAACCGGCAATGAAGAAGTTATTTTTAAACTTCTAGACCTTTCTTCTAACGCATCGATACGAAGATTTGCATCAGACGTCCTTAAAACTGAAGCAAGATTGGACATTTTGATCAATAATGCAGGAGTTGGAACTATGAATGAATTCCTTACAAAAGATGGATTGAATTTTACAATGCATGTGAATTATTTCGGACAGTTTCTGCTAACTCTGCTTCTACTTCCTTTGTTGATTAAAACAGGGAAAGATTCGGAGCCTGCGAGGATTGTAAATACGTCATCAGTGCTACATTATATAGGGAGTGTTAATTTTGAGAAAATGAACAGCTTAAATTATTGGTATCCAATACAGTTGTATGCTAATAGTAAATTATTTTTAGTTTTATTTACGCGTGAATTAGCGAAAAGATTGAGTGGGTTAAATGTTGTAGTGAATTGTGTAGACCCGGGCGCGGTCGGAACAAATATATTTAACTGTGCGGGCAAATATTATGGTTTTCTCATAGCTTTACTGTTCGCGGTATTATTCAAAACACCATGGGAAGGTGCGCAGACTGCCATCCATGTGGCTTTAGATAAAAAAGCTGGACAAATAAATGGAGAACTATTTAAAAATTGTAGATTGGCTCGAGCAAAAAAAATAGCTTATAATGAAGAGTTAGCTCGAAGAGTGTGGGATGAGTCTGTGATGATTGTTGGGTTGTGCGATGATGAATATGAGCAGTTGAAATCATAAAAGTAATCTTTGTTTAAGACCCAATTATATTCACGAGATAGTGATCTTAGTATTTATTTATTCAGTAATAGACTGAATAATTTTAATATTAATTGATCTATAAGTAGGATTTGTTAAGGTAAAAAAATGGAAACGGTTTTTTGTATGGTTATTTATTGTAATTTATGATAATTAAATTATTAAATATTTATTAAATGGTTTTCAATTCTTATCCTTACTAATACTATATAAGATGTGTATCTGTTAGTCTGTTTGTCTGTCAACTATACTGCTGAAATTATGGTTATGTCATGATCATAAGAAGTTGATTAACGTTCGAAGCAAAACTTTGCTTTTTCAGCAGTTTAAGGAATTGAAAAAGAGAAATGTATTACTTTTTGTTTTATTTCCATTTTATTTTTGCTATTCTTCAACCTATAGTGTATATTGAATACTTTACCTGTCTTTGTCCTAGCCGGCTAAAGTAGCACAATCCTTGCTACTATTCTGCCAAGGCCAGAGCCAGTTAACGTCTTTACCTCCACCGGGAGTCGAACGCAGGATGTCTCGCGCGATGTCCATGGAGGAGTACGACAAGCCCAACATACGGAGACTGTCACTCACACCAAGTGTCTCTGAATCCCCTCCGCAACGAAAACTGTAGACTTTTACTACACCCTACAACTACAAAGTACAAAGGTATGTTATTTTAGAAGTACTCTAAAATGTCCGCTGCCAATTTTAATATTTTGTTTGAATATTTGACACTCATTAATATAAACTTCCTCATATATCGTTCTAGCGATTCGCTCTCGCTCCGCTCGGGTTCGTCCGTTTACGTTGTGAAGTTTAGTATAGATTTCTCAGAAATGAGATATGTTTCCGCAGTAAAAAGTATCCTATATGCTGATCCGGATAACCAGCTATCATCATACGAAATTTCATAAAAATTCCTTCAGTGGTTATTCCGTGATGCGGTTACAGATAAACAGACAGACAGACAAAATTTTTAAAAACTATAGATTCGGCCTCTGTATCAGATGTATAGATAGATGTACTCATACTTGCATATCTATTATGGAGCTCAAAATTTTGTGTTTAAATTATTAGTCTTTGTGACGAAAAGTCACGATTAAACAAACAAACACAGAAATTGTTGATTTGTAGATTTAGATCTATTATATCCAAAACATCAATTAAACAGATATTAAAAAATGATCAATTTTCAAGTTTCATCTCGTTACAAAGTATATTTCAAGCTTTTGAAAACGAAAATTCTTTCATTTCACATCAAAAAAATAAAAATAGCACAGAGTGGCAAGACTAGTAACTTTAATTAGTAACGGGCAAAAACCTTTCGTTTCGATCATTATGTGGTTAGAAATCATTTCTGATATGAATGAATGTATGTACGTGTTTATATTACGAATGATATTCTAACCACAAGCGAAGCAATCACACTAGCTAATGTAAACTAGCCTTACTTAAAGAAAATTGGAATTATCAAAATAATCAATAGATATTTATAAAATACTAGCGACTCACCCTCGCTTCGCTCAGTTTCGTCCCTAGCTTGCTTCCTCACACAACCTTTCACCCCAATTCTCACCACCCTTAAGGGATGATTTCCAGGATAAAAACTATCTCACTTACTTTTCATATCACGAGATTTAAAGAAAATCTTATTTTAGTAAAAAAAAATCTTTTAATTTTCTTCTATACAAAACTTCCTGACAATAACATCAATATCAACGCAGAACACCTTAAAACTACGCGCGTTAAAATGTTATCGTATGCATAATCCCTAAGCTACACATTTTATCCCAGCCTCGTTTATCCCGCGCGCGGAGCCGTGGGCTAATCTATACTAATATTATAAAGATTTGATTTTTTGTTTGTTTGTACTGAATAGGCTCCGAAACTACTGGATTGATTTAGATGAAATTTGGTAAAAAGATAGTTTGAGACCCTGGGAATAGCTTTGGATAGTTTTTATTCCAGAAATCATCCCTTAAGGAGTTGAAAATGGGGATGATATTTTGTATGGGGAAACAATCTAGGGAAGCACCCGAGCGAAGCGATAGTAAGTCGCGCGAAAAAAATTCTAACTGAGTCAAATCTGTGAATTAAATATTTTTTGGAAAATATTATTCAAAATAGTCATTAATATCGATACAGAGGCCGAATCTAGTTTTAAAATTTTTGTCTGTTTGTCTGGGAACACATGTCTGAGAAAACCACTGGACAGATTTTGATGAAATTTAGTGTGATGATAGCTTGTTATCCGGGTAACATTTAGGATACTTTTTATTGCGGGAAAATATCTCTTCTCTGAGAAATCTATACTAACCGTTAAAACGTACCTAGGGACGAACCCGAGCGGAGCGAGAACGAGTCGGTAGTTACAGATATATCGTTATAATTTTATCGTATTGATATATTTTTAAAGTATATTTTCTCCACTTTGAGATTACCATAGTACAGATATAACCCTGCTTCTAGAAACTGCATATTTTTTAATATATTTTTGTCATTGTTATAGATACAAAATGCCACATCTAAAAAATGAATGTCGAGGTATACTTAGATATTATGATATTCATTTATAAATAATATATTTAATTATTGTAATAAAATAGTTATTTTATAATAATTTATATAGTCTTATTTGTTTAAGTGTTATAATAAATAAGAGATAACTATTGTATGTTTCATAGTTCGTAACTTCTCAATAAACGTAGATAGTTATATATATTAGTTTAGAAGTATAAATATTTTAATTATTTCGTGCGACTGGTATTGCTTTGAGAGTCGTAGGTTAAGGGTTCGATTTTCTTGTAGGTACGTAGTAACATATACAGTGATAGTTTCTTGTCTTATTCTATTAAAAAAGATATATTTACTTGTACCATTGGATATAACTTTTAAAATAAACTAGCGTCTTTTTAAACTTTTAAAATGAATAAAAAAATAAGTAACTGTATCTTAAATTCTTTTATTGGTAGATGACTCTAAAGCTCGTCAATAGCTATTAAAAAAAAAAAAAATAAGTGCGTGTAACCTTTACGCGTGGTAGAAGTAAAACTTCTTTAGTACTGTGGCAGATACTGATAAATTAAATGAAAACAAATTCAAAATATATATTATATCTAAATATTATAAATGTGAAAGTGTGTTTGTTCTTTCTTCTTTCACGTCGAAACAGAGTGACGGATTGATAGAGATACTTGGAGGGCTGGAGAGTGACATAGGCTACTTTTTACCATTAAAGCTCTTCATTAAAATTAAATAAATACGTGTTTTAGCATTTTGCCAGATTCATCCTATAGGGGGGTAAAATAGGGGATGAAAGTTTGTATGAAATCGAGGATACCTGCGATAAAACCACCACACCACAATCACCTTAACAAGTTTATTATTTTTTTAATAAAAAGCTCCTTTAAAATTAAAACTTTCTCATTCAACATGGTCGAACACAGTGTGTCTTACTTATATTTTTATACATAATAATTATTATAATTTTATTAATTTAATTTATAAAAATATAATATGGTGTCTTAATGTCCCAACATATTTATTTATTTTATCCTTATCCTATTATTATCCTACCAGTAAAGCAAGTTTTTAAAAGAGTGAGACATGTTGTATTTACAATTAAAAACAGTAACTTGCGTATATCATAAAGAAGATATACGCGATTAACCGAATATATTAAAGATAACTTGTATGTAAAAACTAGTCAAGTAAAATCTTGAACTTCAATTTATTCTAAGTTATCTACCTTGTGTAAATAATTCGACTGTTCGAATTTAAGAAGTTTTTTTTTAAATTCCAAACACTTTTGTAGCAGAAAAGAAACGATAAATTGTGTTTTAAATTTATTTTAGAATGTTGTACGTTCTTATGAAAATACATCAGCATTATCTACGGATCATCATACATTTAGATCTCAATTCTTTTGTCGGTGAAGTTGACAACCACGCATATTCTTAATACTGAACTTGACTCCCATTTTCACATTTATGTTTCTGGTGGAATATCATGACTTTTTGTAAATAAACTATTATTATTCATAATTTCAAAGTGACATGTAAATTCTATCTTTATTTTTCATAATTTTTCGACTATTCGTTAGTGCATAAGGCGTAATAGGAATATGTTATTTAATCATCATAGAACCTTTTCTCCTGAGAAAGAAAAAGTTTTTGCTATTACTATGATTATTATTGCTATTATATTTCAAAAGGCACTAGGTGTTAAGCTATTGCTATTATGTTTTGGAAGGCGCAAGGTGTTAATAAAAATATTTTTTTTTTCAAATTTTAAAAAAATACTGTTTTCGGGTTTCAACCGAATTTCAACTTTCTAGGTCATCTGGAAGTGTGCTAGGTTTTACTACTTGTCAGTCAGTGATAAAAATGCCGATTTTTAGACTTTAATATCACAATAACCGTTTGAGTTGTATTTATGAAATTGGGGATTCTAGTTAATCTAAGGAGATTTAATAAATGAACCAAATTTCAAGAATTTATGTTAAATACATTTTGAGCTATTACGAGGTGAAAAGCGGCTCCAAATGGTTCGTGTAAAATATACACACGGTGCTGCCTCACCAGTTTCTTTGGCTTGAACTCGGCTGGACACGCAACCACGTGTCTTGATTCATTAAATGATATATTTTTAAGCTAGAATATGATATTACATGCCATATTCTAATAAGTATAATATAAAATATATTATATATTTTTATATCGGTCACTGATATTTCTTATTTTACGCCATTGAACTGGTCAGTACTACAACGATATACAACAGCATACAAATTATTAAAGTAAGTTATTCTAACTGATAGAACAGACAAGACAAAATATATACCAAAAATTAAAAGAACCCGTGACCTTAGCTTCAGTAGGCAATGCTAGTCCGACACGCCCCGATCGCATACGGTCATATAATTATAATATTATATAGTAGACCTTTAGATATACTTTATCTGAAACTAGGATGTTTTTAAGGAAAAAAATGTATGAAATTATAATAATGATCGCTTAATAATAACAATCATTATGTCCGCCAACCCGCACTTGGCCAGCGTGGTAGACTATGACCTGATTCCCATTGTATTGAAGGGAGTGCCCAGTGCCCAGCAGTGGGACGTTAAAAAGGGCTTAATACGAAATAAGTAAATATATTTTTTGGGTGCACATGTTAGGTCATGTACTGGGAGAATTGAGAATCAGTCAAATAACACGACATCTAAAATTTATTAATTTTTGTTAGTGTAAATCAAAAACATTACAAAATAAAATAAAATCATTGTATAATTAATTATAAACAACTGTTCTAAATATCAACGTTTTGGATTAACAATAAATACGTCTTAGCACATTCAATAATGCAGCGATTATTTTATCGCGTTTTTCAGTATCCTTTCGCAGCGACATGCGATTTTCTGCCATATTTGGCGATTTAGACAACTACGTCATTTGTGTGTAATCTTCCATATCTATACATATAATAAAATTGTAACTGAGCCGAATCTGTACGTTAAATATTTTTTTGGAAATTTTATTGAAATAAACATTATTATTAGTGATGGGCCGAATGTGGTTTGAACCGAATACGAATTTCGGCCGAACATTCGGTGAGAATGAAAAATTT